CCTCTCACATCTTTCCATGTCTCTTCTTCTCCCTGGATCTCCATCTTTCCTTTCTTTCTAGGTCTCCTCACCCCTTGGGTCTCCATTCCCCCGACCCTCGGTCTCTGTCCACTCCTCCTCTGGGTCTCCCTCTCTCTAAGTCTCTTCTCCCTTCTCTTTCAGGGGCTTTTTACCAATTCCCTCTCTCCACCCCGCGCCCCAAGCCCGCGGCCTCAGTGTGCCTCTTCTGCGTTCCAGCACGGTGCACATTCCTCACAGCGAACCCGCTGGGCCGCTCGAAACTCTCTGGCTGGGAAAAGCAATCCCCTGGTGGCAGAGGCTGAAGAGGGGTCAGGGAAGGGCCATCTGGGGGCAGGGGGAGAAGCGGACCCTAAAAGGTGGAAATACAGGATGCGATAGACTGGGTTGCAGCAAGATCACGTCCGGTTAGATCTCAAGTAGCACTTCCCCAGTGCGGCAGCGGGAGATAAGGCAGCGGTGAGCCTGCTAAGGAAACGCCCTAAGCGTGGAGTCAGAGGTTTCCCAAGGTCTAAACCAGCCCTGCCAGCCCCGCCTCCTCACCTCCAATACTGGGCCCTCCGGGTCTTCCGGGAGCCACAGAGAGGCCGTCGGCGTCGAGCCAGAGCGTCACTACACGACGCCCCCTCCTAGTTCCGCGCGGCATCTCGCTCGCAGATCCCGTTCCTCCGGAAGAGCATGGAGAACAGGGACTGGATAGGGCCAGAGAGGGCCTCGACGTGCTGGCCCTTCCTTCCCTGACGTAGCGCTTGTTTCCCTTTAGATGTTCGTCCACCCTTTTCCGGCATCGCCCATCCAGCGGATCATCAGACTCACCATAGAGAGGTTCGAGTCTGGTAGAGCGCCGCGTGGCGCGCATGTGACGTCACGCAGTCGCCGCTCGCTGCAGGCTTTCCCCGCCCCCCCAGAATCTGAGCTCTCTTTCCGGACCCGGCTGAGGAGTAGGCGCCATCATGGTGAGCGCGCTTTGCTGTGGTCGGGGCTCGGCCATCCGCCGCCATCCGCCGCGGTCTGGCGCTTGGGATGTGCCCCAGCGAGGCAGGGGTCTCGGGGGTGCCCAAAGGAGGCGATTCGCGCGGTGGGGAGCTCTTTTAGGGGGCCCGAAGGCCCAGAATGGGTCAGTCATATCAGCCTTCAGCCCGTCCTGTCCTTTTTTATCATAGCTCCCGTTGAATAGGTGACCAAATTGAGGTTCCAGGAGGTTAAGTGATGTGCCCGGGCTCACAGTGCCAGAAAGTGGCGGAGACGGCATTGGGATCCAGGCTCTGGTCCCGCAGCCACTCTGCCCGGACCTGCCACTCCCTGGTCTGCAAAGTTGGGTTCTGGGGGAGTGTCGAGCGTCCAGTGTCCGGGTTTGGGGTCCAGGCCGGCCTCCAGTCGCGTCTCAGCTCCCTGCCCACCTGGGATCTTGCTTTCCCGGCCTGCGCCCCAGTTTCTTCATCTCTTCATTGGACGACACACTCCTGTCTCAGATTTGAGTTTGGGGAGAAGTCAGTCACGGGACATGTTCTGCACGGGTCCTCGTAGTCGTTAAGGATAAATGGGAGCTCCTAACAGTTAAGTCGTTTTTCGCAATGCATCAGATAGTCTAAAAACGTCTCAGGATAGCAGGTCGGGGAAGTGTAGTGGAGATCATGGGCTTCCCTCAGTTTTCTTGGTGCTAAAGTGGGAAACTGGCTCGTGAGGTTGTTGGATTCAAGGAGACAGTGTGTGAAAGGTCGTTCTGGTACTGGTTCTGTACAGAGTAAGTCCAAGATAAAGGATTGTTGCCATTATCGTTTTCGTTGAAATGTTGTGGGTTGCTCTCCACGCGTGGGAGTAAGTTTGGGCAACTTTAATAATACTTATGTCTTTGCAAAATAACAACTCCTGAAAAATTGAAGTGTTTTATTGCATTAACGTGGCCGCTGCGTTCAAGCCTTTCAGGCTGCTGTGTGCCCTGTGCTGGAGGCTTTGTGCGTGGAATTAGCCCCTTCTTTACACGGGGGGGGGGTTCTTTGAGGCCCAGAGGACTTCAGTGACTCTCTCAGAGGTGGACCTGGCCTTTGTGTCTTCAGAGACTGGGTCCCCAGCTCCATCTCAGAGATAATTAACCACTGAGAACGTTGATGGGGTGAGGAATCTGCCAGGTCACACTTGGGTCCGTGGTCTCCCCTTCACCCCGCAGGGAGTCGACATCCGCCACAACAAGGACCGAAAGGTTCGGCGCAAGGAGCCTAAGAGCCAGGACATCTACCTGAGACTGTTGGTCAAGGTGAGGTTGGGGCCTGAGGCCTTTGGGTAGGGCTGCCCCAGACTGCGCCTTCCAGAGCCTCTGTTCTGGTGTGGGTCCAGGGCTTCCCCCTGGGGCATGCGGGGCAGGCTCGCGTCTCTGGTTCTGGGCTGTATCCAGCTAGGGGGTGGAAAGGGATCTCTGGGTCCTTGGCCAGGAACGACCTGGGCCACCTCTCCCTGGGGCTCAAAGGGATGGGGGAAAGCCCCCAAAACTGTGCCAGCTGAAACCAGCATCTGTTAGCTGCTTCGTTAAAAAGTTGGGGGACAGGGGGAGCAGGTTACCCCGGGTTCTCATTCTTTCTTTACCCTTCCCTTCCAGCTGTACAGGTTTCTGGCCAGACGAACCAACTCCACCTTCAACCAAGTCGTGCTGAAGAGGCTTTTCATGAGTCGCACCAACCGGCCACCTCTGTCCCTTTCCCGCATGGTGAGGGGCTCCCGCGGGGCACATCACCAGCCTGGGGAGCGAGCGGATTGTGTCTGGAGCTGGGCTCTGGGAGGGAGGGTAGGGTTAGAGCCTGGCCATCCGCTGGCTCACCTCCCCCAGTGGTGGGCACAGAGTTCTGACCCTTGGGTTGTGGCTGAATAGTGGGGGTGTTTCACAGGCTTGGTCTCCCTCATTTTCCTTCTCGTTGTGAGGTGGGGGTGGCGGAGCAGCTTCACGAGACCTTCCTAAGGCTTCGAGTCATATATCACACGTCTTACCTGTTAAAAGCTGTCTATAGGAGAGCTCTCTGGAGCAATCTGTGCTTGCATCATTTTCTTGGGAGGTTTTCCTGGGCTCGACCCGCTCGTTGCAGGGCTGTGGCCTGGCTGTGTTTAGCCCATTTGGGCACAGCTCTTGGCCCTCAGGATGCCTGAAGCAGCTGGGTTGGATTAAACCCCAGGAGGGACTTTGTTCATGTGCATCTCACCCCCCACCCCCGCCCCCGCCCCAAAGATCCGGAAGATGAAGCTTCCTGGCCGGGAAAACAAAACAGCTGTGGTTGTAGGGACTATCACCGACGATGTGCGGGTCCAGGAGGTGCCCAAACTGAAGGTGAGTCGGGGGCTCCCTCACGGCCGGTGGTCAAGAGCACAGGCTTAGGATGGCATTCTGCAGACCTGGCTCAGCCTTGTTCTGCTGTGGTGCCGGCAGTCTCACCGCCGCTAGGTGAGGCAGCGCCACACCCATCCAGGAGGCGTTCAGGATTGAAGGGGGATTGTCATTGCCATTACTGATGGTGGGTGTCCCTAGGCGAGCCTCTTCTGGGGCCCTGTTGGCAGTGCTGGCTCTTGAGCCAGACAGCCTGGGTTAAGATTTTGAATTTTCTGCCACTTTGTCATCTCTGGACAAAGTCCTGGATCTCTTTATGCCTCTGTTTCCTTACATGTAATAACTTCAGGTTGTTGGGGTCTTAAAGGAGTTTCTAGAAGCACTAAGAACAGCTGTTACTGGCTGAGGAAGCTCCCTTTGATTGGTGGTGGTGTGGGTTATCAGGCCGAGCGAGCAGCTGGGGTGACTGCTGGGCCAGGGCAGTGGATAGTAAGTCCCAGCAGCCCCTGGGTGGCCGTGCGAGAGCTCTGACTGCACCTGTCTTCTATGTCTCCCAGGTGTGTGCCCTGCGTGTGAGCAGTCGTGCCCGGAGCCGCATCCTCAAGGCTGGGGGCAAGATCCTCACCTTTGACCAGCTGGCCCTGGACTCCCCGAAGGGCTGTGGCACCGTCCTGCTCTCTGGTGAGTGATGTTTGGTGGCCTCCACAGCTGCAGGAACCGGGGACCCAGTGTGTGATGGGTCTGGCATGAGCTGTGTGACTACTGGCAGCCTTTGCTTCCCCTGGTCTGGGAGGTCTGGGGCTCGCCTGCCCCCAGTCAGCCTCAGCCCCGCAGAGCAGCTCCTTGCCGGGCTGGTTGCTGGGTCCCTGCCTTATGCGCGTCTCCCTCCCTTCCCCAGGTCCTCGAAAGGGCCGAGAGGTGTACAGGCATTTCGGCAAGGCTCCAGGGACTCCGCACAGCCACACCAAGTGAGTATCCGCAGCCCTGCCCTCCGTCCTGGTCTCTCCCCATGTGGCTAGGCCTGGCCGGGCTTCCAGCTGCTGCTGTCTCTCCGGCCTCGGGCCTCCCTAGAATTGCCCGCCCCGTCTTACCCACTTTGCTTCAAGATTCAGCTTAAAGCTGTTCCCCTGGCTGTCGAGCTGCCTGTGCACCCGGTACTGTAAATGCAGGCACTTCAGGGCTGCTCCCGGGCCTGAGTCCGCTTCTCCCAGGTGGAGCTGGGAGTCAGCCGGCCTCTGGGGCGGCCGCTTCAGCAGCCACTCCTGGCATCCTGGCCTCCTGCACGGCCAGGCTTCTCCAGCAGCCGATCTGGTTTCACCCCCACCCTTACGGGTGCCCATGCTGCTCTGTTGGAGCGCGCCTGGCTCTGCTCCACGGTCCCCGCATGCCAGCAGCCCTTGTTCCTGACTGCATCTGTGACCCGGCTCACTCTCTTCCTCTTCTCCCCACAGACCCTATGTGCGTTCCAAGGGCCGCAAGTTCGAGCGCGCCAGAGGCCGACGGGCCAGCCGGGGCTACAAAAACTAACCGCGGATTCTACCTTGTTATTAAAAAGATTTTGGACGCTGACGGCTTCTGTGTGTTATTGGGACGGGGAAGGAAGGCACTGGACCCTGCGCTGGGCACGCCTGTGGTTCTGGGAATCGTTGCTCCTTGCATCGCCAGGCCTCTGGGCTGAGCCCCTCCCTCTGCTGGGCTGGAGCCTGTGGGTTCCAGATCTCTGCCCTCGTGGGCGCATGCTGCCCATCTGGACCTCGTCACACCTGTTGGAACTCGGGCAGCCCCCATGGTCCATGGTCGAATCCCCGCCTTGTTCCCAAGAACCAGGTGTCAGGTGTTTTTGCACCTGTTTCCTCATTTAGTCACACCCGCCCCTCTTAAAGGACCCGTGTTCCCCTCCCGCATCTCCCTGGCACTAGGGCTGGCGGGTGGGGAGGGGGTGCATGGGAACAGGTGAGGCACTCCCCATTCCCCAAAGCCTGCATCTGGTGGGCCCCTGGCCCAGCAACCCATTGAGTTTGTGCTCCCAAGGCTGAGACCTTCCTCTACCCCTGGCCTGGCGCCTGCGTTGGCCCTCCCCCCGTGTTGACACAAGGGGCTGGGTTTCCCAGGTCCCAGGCTGCAGCCTGAGGAAGGAGGCAGGACAGCCCGGAAGAACCTCAAATAAAAGCAGGTCTGCAGTTTCCTGTTCTGATTCCTCGGAAAAGGTAAGAGAAGAAGGGGACGGGGATGGGAACCTGGCCGCCCTGCGGGGGCGGGAGGCAGAGCAGGGCCTGGCTTTATTCCTCTTCCTTCTCTTTGCAGGGCTGGTTGCTGTGGTCTGGAGGAAGGGAGACGCCTGGCTGCTGGGGTTGGAAGGAAGGGCTGCCGGTTTGCAGGATCAGGGGTCCACAGGCCAGAGGTTGGGTCAGGAGCCTCAAAGGGGCAGCTTAAGAGCGAGCCAGGACAGGAGGCAGAGCGGGCCTGGCCAGGAGTAAGTGGACGGTCAGAGGCAGGAGCTAGTGGGATTCAGGCAGAAACCCAGACCGGGGCAGCTTTACAGGGAGGAGTAGAGATCAGAGGACAGCCCGAGACAACTGTGTGGCCCAGGAGTCAGACAGGGGCAGCCAGTCTGAGGAACGGTGGCCGGTTAATCAGGTCCTCAGCCTAGAAGTGCTGTTGGGATCATGGGCTGGTTCCATCGGAATGAAAGCCCCTGTACAGCACATCCTCCCCTGCGGCAGCCTGAGCGGGTGTGAGGGCCCAGGGAGCAGGGTCCTCGATCCGCAGAGGACGCTGACCTAGTTCCGCTGCTCGGGGAGGGCGATGCCCAGACTTCAGGCTGGAGTGCGTTCCTCCTAGGCTCAGAGGAGGCGCCCGGGACCGTACGCCAGCTGGCCGGATGTCAGGAGAAACAGATTGGGCCAAGGCCAGCTGGGTGTCCCACAGGGCGATCAGATCCTGAGATTGTCGGTTGCGGTCTGTCAATGTTTTCCGGACAGTCAAAGAGACGGCCAGGGAGGGTCAGGGAGCGTGCAGGTGGCCGGAGGAGCCTGCTCTGCCTTTAGTTAGGACGTTGAGTGGTTGCAGACACACAGCCCCTTGCTTGGAGATGGTTGGGGAGTCAGCTGGACCTTTGGCTGGGACAGGAGGGTGGTCAGCCAGCTGAAGGGTCAGTAGGGGCTTCGTGTGGCCAGTGGGCTGGAGGTCATCGTGTGGGGGGGGACGGGCAGGTGATGGTCCCACAGTTGGAGACAGTGTCAGGCGGTCAGCCTGACCAGGACACAGGGCCAGTCGCGGGGTCGGCCAGACCATTAGAGACGGCTGGCGGGAAGTCCGATGGCCAGCCAGTCACAGTGGTAGCTGGAGGCTGGCGGGCTGGGCATCTGAGCAGTGCCACACGGCGGGGGCGCCTGTCATTTGGACAGTCTGATTGTCAGGACGGTGAGCCAAGGACAGTACAGGGAGCCATTTGGACTTTCTCAGGGTTGTCCCAGAAGCCTTGCATGGCCACATAGAGTCTGCCTGTCAGGAGACACCCAATGGTTAGTTTCTCAGAGACAGCCACACTCTCGGACACCCAGGCTCACGGTCCTCCCCTTCAAGCAGCCCCATGGCGGCCTCCCAGCTGGCAGCGCTGGAAGAATGGGAGTCGGGGACCGGGACGCCCCTGAGCGAGGCCAGCCCTGGCTCCCTGTATTCCGAGGGCCAGCGGCTGGCGCTTGAGGCTCTGCTGAGCAAGGGCGCGGAGGCCTTCGAGGCCTGTGTGCAGCGTGAGGGGCTGCGGCCTTTCCTGAGTGGGGATGAGCTCCGGGGCCTGGCAGCGGCGGCTGAGGACTGGACGGCAGCCAAACAGGAGCCCGGCGGGGCAGCGGAGGGCGTCACCACCACCAACGGCGGCTCAGGCAGCCTGACCTACTGGCCTGGACAGTCGGAGGAGCCGGTGCCCACGCTGCAGCTGGGCTGGCCAGAGGACTCAACCTGGAAGGGTATCACCCGGGCACAGCTGTACACCCAGCCTCCGGGCGAGGGCCACCCACCCCTCAAGGAGCTGGTGCGCCAGGAAATCCAGGCCGCCCGCAAGGTGGGGGCCGGTCCCCAGACCCGGACAGCCTCAGGCCAGCACCGGGACCCGGGCATTCCCACCCATGCTCTCCGGGGACTTGGGTGTCCTTGGCCCTGGAACCCACACCTTCAGACCTCATCCTCCCCCTCTTAGATATGGGGTTCCCCACCCACTCCCCACGACCTGGGTGCTCTTAGGCATCCGTGCCCCCGATCTCAGTCATCTACTCCAGCCCCGCCCCCCAACACCAGGGTGGATGTCCCTGTCCTCCCCACCAGGGAGGGCCCCGATGTCTCCCCTGCAGCCCCCTGGACAGCCTGTTCTTTAACAGGTTTTGTGTCTGCCCACTCCCATGCCAAGTGCTTTATGTGGGTTAACATGCGTAATCCTTACAAGGGTCCTATGAGGTTGGGACTTAAGCCCATTGAGGAGGTGGGGAAACTGAGGCACAGGAGGTTAAGTGTCTTGCCTGTAAGTGGCCAAGTGGGGATTTGAACCAAGGCCGTCTGGCCAGTGAGTCAGGGTTCATCACCTTTACCTGTCTGAGACCCGGGCCCTCGGCACCCCCAGTCTCCAGAGCTGGCCTTGGCCCAGCAGCGCAGCCCAACCACCCCTGGCACCCAGAGCTCCCTGAGGACCCAGATGTGCGGTTGCCCATGGTGCCCTGCAAGGGCATCCAGTGCGCTGGCTCCTGGGGCCCCCATGTAGTGTCACAGCTCGGGGCATACCATTTGCCCTTGCTGACACGTGACTTAGCATGACAGCTGTCCAGAGGTTGGAGGCGGGGTCTCCAGGAAGGGCTGAGTTTCCCCATTCACACGTGGGCACTATGAGCAGCTGCGTGCGTCTTGGGGTCTCCCCCTCGTCCCCCTGAACAGCCCAGGGAGGCCAGGCCTGGAACCCCAAGCCCCCAGAGCACCTCACCCCCAGGGCCCTACTCTCTGAGTGGTCCCCTGAGCCCTAGGCTCCATCCACAGCCCCTCTCCCCACCCCTCAGCTGGTGGCCGTGGTCATGGACGTCTTCACTGACCCAGACCTGCTTTTGGACCTGGTGGACGCTGCCACACGCCACTGGGTGCCTGTCTACCTGCTCCTGGACTGCCAGCAGCTGCCTGCCTTCCTGACGCTGGCCCAGCAGCTGGGGGTGAACCCCTGGGCCACTGAGGTAGGGACCCCTGAGTCCCCATTCCCCAGGCACTGGGGGCAGTGACAGCAGAGACTTCCAGAGGGTTCTGGGTCATTGAGGCGGGTGCTAGTGGAGAGGGACCCCTGAACCTGATGCCCGTGGCATTGGTGGCATTGGGGGAGACGGGAGTGGGCCTTCCCATGGGGTCCCTCTGACTTAGGGGTGTCTCCAAGAGTCCCCTGGAGGCCTGATATTGGTGGCACTGGGAAAGCTGGGGCAGACCCTTCTATGGCGTCATAGGCCACCCAGGTAGGATGAGCCTGGAGGGACCCCGGAGCCATCGGCCTGAGCCCCGTGTGCCCTCCCTGCTCCAGAACCTGGACATCCGCGTCGTGCGGGGGTGCAGTTTCCAGAGCCGCTGGCGCCAGCACGTGAGTGGCAACGTGCGGGAGAAGTTTGTGCTGCTGGACGGTGACAGGGTCATCTCAGGATCCTACAGGTGCGGCTCCCCCATCCCCACGCTGCCCGGGGCCCTGGCCCCACCTCTCCCTCAGCGTGCTCTGAGAGTGGTTGGCATCCGCTTTCCCAGCCTCCTCCCTCATCTGAAAACGCCCTGCCCACAAGAGGAGGGATTGTGCAGCGGAACAGGCACGGGCTTGGGGCCAGGCCTGCCCGGTGCAGGTGCTGGCCCCCTCTGAGCATCAGTGAAAACGTAAGAGCTGGCGTGCAGATGGCCCTCAGACCAGCTCACATCCCTCCTCTGCCCTCTTTGGGGTCCAACCCACCCTGGATCCTGGCTCCACAACTTCTTAGCTCTGTGACACTCAGCCAGGGCCTCCCCTGCTCTGAACCTCTGTTTCCCCATCTGGAAAGTGTGAATAGTAACAGCACATGTCTCAGAGAGTCACAGCACGGAGGGGGAGCCGAGGGGACTCTGGGCCAGACAGCCTGGGTTCACATCTAGCTCTGCCAGTCACCGCTAGCTGTGTGACTTTGGGCAACTGACTTCACCTCTCTGTGCCTCCATTCCCCGCTCTCTGCACAGCGGGGCGATATGGTTAGTGCCCCTCCAGCAAGGTTTCTTCACAGAGGTACCACTCGCCTTTGGGGCCGGGTGATTCTGTGTGGTGGGGGGCCTTTCCTGGGCATTGTTGGAGGCTGAACTGGATCTCTAGCCTCTACCCGCTAAATGTTGGGTGCGTCTGCCTTCCCCGATTATGACAACCAAAAGTGTGTCCAGATGTCACCAGCTGCCTCCTGAGGAGCAGAAGTGCCCTGCTGAGAACCGTTGCCCTGGACTCGTGGTTTTCAGCCTCAAGCGTGCATTAGAATCAGCTGGAGGATTTGTTAAAACACAGCTTTCCGGGCTCCGCCCCCATCCAGCCGGCCTGGGATGGGGCCCGAGCATTGGCCTTTCTAGCAGGTTCTCCATTGATAGCGATGCTGGTGGTCCAGGGACCACACTTTGAGAACCGCTAGTGTGGCGCCTGGGAACCTACCTTCCCAGCTTCACCTGAGGATTCAGGGAAATAAGGGTGCCTGGCGTGTGACATAAGACATGCTCCATAGGGGTCAGCCTAGTGGCAGAGTGGTTAAGTTCACACACTCCGCTTTGGTGGCCCGGGGTTCACAGGATCAGATTCTAGGCGTGGACCTACACGGCTCATCCAGCCATGCTGTGGCAGCATCCCACATACAAAACAGAGGAAGATTGGCACAGATGTTAGCTCAGGGCCAATCTTCCTCACCAAAAAAAAACCCACAAAAAAAGCTCCATAAACATCTATTGTTGTTTATTATTATTATTGTTGTTATTTGCCATATTTCATTGATTCTAAGGGGCCACCAGCAAAAAGCATCCTGATTAAAACGTGAGGAGATATACATCTTAGAACCAATGAAAGTCAGTGGCGCAGTCAGACCCACCGAGCGTGGTTCCCCAGTGTCGAATCGGGCCTGAGGAGGCTGCAGTGAGCGCTGGGCTCCTGGTGGACAGCCCTAGAACGGATGGAGCCAGGGCCACAAGAGGTTGTCCAGGGCCTCTGGCCGTTTAATGGGGGGAGGGGGGAGGGCAGGGGGCACGGGGAGCAGCGGAGCCGGGAGACCAGTCCCAGGCTGTGCCCTGCGTGTTGGTCACAGCAGATGTTGCAGCAGCAGCAGTACGCCTGGCGCCAGGCCGGTGGTGGCCCCCGCCGTCCGGCTGCCTGTGGGGCCGAGAGCCCCGTTACACAGCTGACCGTAGCAGCAGTTGGTGACGAGGCTGTAGGTGACGCCCATGTAGCTGATGGGCTGCTCCTGGCCGCAGGAAGTGGCCTGCACGCAGCCCTTATTGATGATGGGGCTGACGCCCGGGGCCACCCCGTGGCCCGTGAAACAGTCCTCATCGTCCCCACAGCGCATGTGGGTGCCAGGGCAGCTCGAGGAGTCGCTGATCTCACAGAAGACGCAGTCCTTGGCGCCCGTCGTGCCCAGGGGCAGAGCCGTCACCAGAAGCAGCAGCCAGCCGAGGACCATGGTGGCCTGGCGGTGGTGCCGGTGCCCGAGCCAGGCCGCGGGCTTCCTGGGCCTCCCGGAACTGCTGAATGACGTTCCTCACGCCCGCAAGACTCTTGTCCTGGGTTCCGGCCTCCCAGGGTCAGCACTTGGAGTGTCCTCGGTTCCCAAGGCTCTGTGTCCCTCTCAGGAGCTCCGTCGTGACTGTGGCTCTCGAGTCCTCGGGTCTCAGAAGTTTCCCCAGGACGGAGACGAGCCAGCGGCTGCCTCCCGACAAGTCTTTGTGGACCGGAATGGGATGACCTCACAAACCCCTCAGGGTTCCCACTGGCTGCTCTGGGGCTGAGGTCATAGGTGGGGGGAAGGGTGTCACAATCTGAGGGGCAGGCAGGCAGGACACTCGCCCGCCAAGGTAAGGACACCTGGATCCCCACTCACCGTCCTGGCCATGAACTCATCCGCTCTGCTCTGGGTTGGGCGCCGTATCTGCCGAGGCACAAGATCCCCAGCCCGTGGTGGGCCCTTCGTTCAGATGGGCAAACCGAGGCTCAGGGAGGGACAGTGACATGTTTCCGGAGCCCGGATTGGAGCCCATTAGGTTCATTTAATTCCAAACAGGGCTTTTACTGAGTGGCTGCTGGATGTCAGGACCAGAGCTAGATGCCTTAAATAGCCACCAGTGGGATGACGGGATTGTCAAGGGCCCCAGTCCCCACAGCTCGCTGGCTTTCAGTGCCGGCCGGGCCGGGCACTGTGTGCTCTCGCATCCGCATCTTTCTCCGATTTAGCTCTGTATTACGCATGAGTAAACTGAGGCACAGAGCAGGCACACAGCAAGTGCTTAACAAATGGCAGTCACTCTAGGAAGCAGCTGAGTCTTAAAACAGTCCCTGTGGGTGTCAGAAAATGGATCCCATCTCTTTCCAGAGGGGCAAACTGAGGCATCCCTCGGCGGGGACAGGGCAGAGCCCAGGTGTAAACTCAAGTCTGATTCTAGAGAACTGGAGTGTTGTAACTCATGTCCTTACATCCACCCTCCGGGGTAGGTACTTGGGTGGTTCCTGTTCTACAGAGGGGGATGTTGAGACCAGAGAGGTCGCAGGACTTGCCTGAGGTCACACAGCCTGCCCCGGGACCATAACGGTGATGGGGGCCTCTCTGGGCCTTCGCAGAGATCCTGACCCCTCCTTGTGTGGCCCCCAGCTTCACGTGGAGCGATGCGCGCCTGCACCGTGGCCTGGTGACGCTGCTGACTGGTGAGATCGTCGATGCCTTTAGCCGTGAATTCCGGACACTGTACGCGTCCTCCAGGCCGCTCCCGCCTGCGCCCACCCCGAGCCCCTTCGTGGGCGCCCACGGAGGGCTGCAGCTGGTCCACAGCCCACACCGCGTGGCCCACCGCCACTCTGTGGCCCCCATGTTGCCACCGCCGCCCGATGGCCTGCTGGCCCAACGCCTGGCCGCCTGCCGAGTCTTCGAGGGGGACAGGCAGGAGGCCCCGGCCGTCGTGGGGCCGGCGCTCAGCGACATTCTGAGGAGCGTACAGCGAGCCCGGACCCCCAGCGGACCCCCGGCCCGGCCCAGCCGCTCTCTGTGGGACCTGAGTCTCCTGTCCCAGCTGTCAGGCTCTAGCGACGGCGACAATGAGGTGAGACCTGGTGGCTGGCCTGAGAGAGAACAGAATAGTGGGAAGAGGATAGAGGCTCAGAATGGGGAGGGCGCTCGCCCAGGGTCACACAGTGGGGCTGCAGGGTCCCTGCTCTGAACACTCAGAGCAGGAAGTGTTTCCTGGGGACCTACTATATCCCTGGCCCCGGGAGGGAGGGGACAGCAGAGCTGCTCACCTGAATTTGTAACTGCGTCATCCATTTCCTGTAGCCCTACTGTGTGCCAGGCAGGGGAGCGCTGGAGGGCACGGGGCAGAGAGCCTGCGGGCCCTGGTGTGAATCCTGACATGACACACCAATGTGAGAGGTGGGGGGTGGATAGAGATTCACCTTCTCTGACCCTCAGGGTTCTCATCTAGCGCGTGGGCTGAGCGAGGGTCCCCATTGTCAGGGTGGTCTGGGGGAGGAGTCAGTGAGCATAGAATGAAATAGAATAATCGTCATGACAATAAATTCCCCAGTGGAATTTATCTTTCTTTGTTTCACGACCTCCCCATCCAGGTCAGTGACACAAGGCTTACCATGCTCATTTTTATGGACGGGAAAGCTGAGGCTCAGAGAAGTTGAGCAACTTGCCCAAGGTCGAACAGCAATCTTTTGAGGGCATCTTGCCACAGGCCGGGCCCCAGAGCAAGTGCTTCCTCTTTAAAAGACGGGGTTGAATTTAACCTTTGCCACAACCCTGTGAGGTGGATGTTATTACAGCTCTCCGCCCGCCTGCCCATTTCACAGATGGGGAAACTGAGGCACCAGGGAGGGATTGGAACACAGCCCTGGTTGCCTCCCAGGCAGGGCTTTTAAAGGCTCTGCTCGCTGGCTTCCCGGATTCAGATGTCACCGGGGTGTTGGCGAGGGGGTTAGGGGAGCTCCGAGGGGTCTCCACCCCTCCCCCCAGATGTTAGACACTGGGGTTCCAATAGAGCCGCCCCAGTTCTCGGGGGGCCCTGGGAGGGCCTCCTGTCCTCAGCTGTAAAGCAGGCTGTTGAGAGGGTAAGGGCAGAGCCCTGGAGGAGAAACAGGCCGACTCACGCAGGATGCAGGCGGACTTGGGTCCCATCCCTCTGTGAGCTGTGCCCCTCTCAGCCTCAGTTTCCCCATCTGCTAAGTGGGAGCTAGAGGCCGGCCCGAGGCTGAGGGAGGAACGTCCCAGGAATCGCCTCCCTCAGCCCCAGTCCGTGGAGCGGAGGAGGGGGATGGGCAGGGCAGGGCAAGGTCCTCGCCTCCAGCTGGGCCTGAGCCGCCCTCACCCGGCATCACCTCCCTTGGCAAATATTTGCTCCCCCAGGCAGCTGCGGCTGCTTCCGGTTCCTCCCCAGCTGCCCAGCTGCAGGGGGGGGACACCCCGCTCCTCGCCCCCTCTGTAGCCCTTCCTCCCGCCCTCCTGCTCCTTTCCTTCCTGGTTCTGGCGGCTCAGGGGCCTTCTCCCTGCCTCACGTTGTCTCCCCGCTGCCCACTCCCTCACTTCCCTCCTGTCTCACCTCCTCCCTCCTTCCATTCCTCCTCCTCCTCCACCTTCTTCCTTCTCACCTCTGCCCTCCCTCACCTCCTCCCTCCCTGGGACTCAGCTGCTGGGAGCCTGCTCTTGCCTCCCTCCCCTCCTCCTCTCCTTCCTTCTCCCTCCTCCTCTCCTTCCTTCTCCCTCCTCCTCTCCTGCCTTCTCCCTCCTCCCCCTCTCCTTCTCCCTCCCTCCTCCTCCTCTCCTTCTCCCTCCCTCCTCCTCCTCTCCTTCCTTCTCCCTCCCTCCTCTCCTTCTCCCCCTCTCCTTCCTTCTCTCCTTCCTACTCCCTCCTCCTCCGCCCTCCTCTCTCTGCGCCCTGGGAGCCTCCTCTCACCTCCCTCTCTTTCCCTCCACAGCACAAGAAGTCCTGGGACCCCAAGGACACGCCAGCTAAGGCCCTGATGAGGCAGCGGGGTGCTGGAGGGGGCCCCTGGGGTGAGGCGGACTTCCGTCCGCTGGCCTGGTCCCAACCCTGGGGCGGCCCACTGCCCCTCAACCCTGCCCGCCGCCGCCTCCGCTATCTGTCCCCAACGCGCAGGAGGTTTGGGGAAGGTGCCGCATCCAAATTCCCCGAACCCGGAGACGGCCGGCAGCCTGACTGGGCCACCTGGGCGGGGATCAGGGGACGACCCTGATGGGAGCCAAACTGGGCCGGCCCGTCCTGGGAGAGCTGGACAACCGTCGCCTCGAAGCCCCCGGCCTCGCTGTTGTGCGTTGGACAAAGCTTCTGGCCTCGGGGTCTGGGAAGCGGAAGGGATTATTTTCTCTGTTCTAGAACTTGGGCTAGCCCAGTGCCCACTCTAGACCTCAGGGTCACGGTCTAGAAAATGGGCAGCAAGTCTGGACTGGCGGGGATCGTAGGACAGGGCACTGCTCCCGTCCCGGCGGGCTCAGATGTTCTGAGGACAGGCGGGCTGGGTGGCCCCCTGCTGGAATGGTCGGGGAGGGTGGGGGGGGGTGGCACAGGGGAGGCCCTGGGCTTCCTGCACCCACCGTGCTCGGGAGCTCTGGTCCACGGACTGGGCCGAGCAGAGGACAGAACCAAGTCTCGGGAGCGGAGCTGAATGAGGAGGGACTAGAATCTGTGGGGGCCCGGCAGGCGCTGGGACCGTTTGGTGGGCGCTGAGGGGGGAGGTGTTGGGGCTCCCTTTACATCGGCTCAGAATGAAGCTCCTTCATGACCCAAACGGGCATTGCCACAGCCCAGCAGGAGACCCGGGAGTCCAGCCCAGCCCCTCCTCCCTCAGACCCCGGGGTCCAGGCCCCAGCCCCTCCTCCCTCAGACCCGGGGGTCCATCCCCCAGCCCCTCCTCCCTCAGATCCGGGGGTCCAGGCCCCAGCCCCTCCTCCCTCAGACCCAGGGGTCCAGCCCCAGCCCCTCCTCCCTCAGACCCCGGGGTCCAGGCCCCAGCCCCTCCTCCCTCAGACCCAGGGGTCCAGCCCCAGCCCCTCCTCCCTCAGACCCCGGGGTCCAGGCCCCAGCCCCTCCTCCATCAGACCCAGGAGTCCAGGTCCCAGCCCCTCCTCCCTCAGACCCAGGGGTCCGGACCCCCACCCCTCCTCCCTCAGACCCCGGGGTCCAGGCCCCAGCCCCTCCTCCCTCAGACCCCGGGGTCCGGACCCCCACCCCTCCTCCCTCAGACCCGGGGGTCCAGGCCCAGCCCCTCCTCCCTCGGACCCGGGAGTCTGGGCGCAGCACCGTGGCCCTCGGGGAGTAAGGTGCCCAGCGTTGGGTTTCTGAGTCACCGACATCATTGTTGCGCCGGCGCGGGTCCCGTCCCCCCCAACCCCCGCCTCCGTGGTACCCCTGCCGCCCGCCCCAGCGCGCCGCCCCACAGCCTGTCGAGGAGCCGGGGCAGGAGCAAAGCGTTTATTTTCAGGGGCTCGGGTGCGGGGGCTCGGAGGCCTGGACGGGACTGGGGCTGGGGCCCGGGCTTGAGTCGGGGTCCGGGCTGGCGTCGTCGGGGGCCGGGTCCCAGGGGAAGGTCTGCAGCCCCCGCATCTGCTCCCGGTAGACGCGGTCGAAGTCTTCGCCCTGCGCCACCGTGAAGTGGTTCTTCCAGTCCCCGCAGACCCCTGAGGACGGAGGGGGGCCGAGGTCAGGGGCGTCCGGGACATCCCCGCCACCACACCCCGCACCCCTTCCCCACCCCTGGGCCTTGCCCACGGTGTCCCCTTGGCCAGAGCACCGTCCTCCCGCCCCATCTCCTTTTGCCCCGTTGCCTCCTATGATGGCCGACTCTCACAGGGCCACCAGTCAGTCACCCGGCCAGACCCACGGGTCCTGGGGTCCATGTCGTTTAGATCACAGTAGTTTGAATTTTAGCAAGTGCAGGTACCACGTGTTACATGACACCCCTAGTGAGGTCTCGGGGGCTCCCTCTGGTGGGCTGAAGAACGCCCCCCCCCCCAGAAGTCCACCTTCTTGTGACCTTACAGGGCAAAAGGGACTTCGCAGATGTGATTAAGTTAAAGGTCTTGAGATGGGGAAATGATCCTGGACTATCCGGGTGGACCCAGCGTAATCACGAGCGTCCTTATGAGAGGGGGCAGAGTCAGAAATCAGAAGATGCCACGCTACTGGCTTTGAAGATGGAGGAAGGGGCCGCAAGCCAAGGGATGCAGGCCAGTCTGGAAACGGAAAAAGCAGGGAACGGATTCTCCCCTGGAACTCCAGAAGGAACACAGTCCTTCGGACACCTTGATTTTAGCCTCATGAGGCTGATTTTGGACTTCTGACCTCCAGAAGCATAAGAGAATAAATGTGTGTTTTTGTTTTTTGTTTTTTGGGTTATTTTGGTGAGGAAGATTGGCCCTGAGCTAACATCCATGCCAGTCTTCCTCTATTTTGTACGTGGGGCGCCGCCACAGCGTGGCTTGATGAGTGGTGTGTAGGTCTGCACCCGGGATCCAAACCTGCAAACCCTGGGCTGCCAAAGCGGAGTGTGTGAACTTAACCACTATGCCACCGGGCTGGCCCCTAAATGTGTGTTGTTTTAAGCCAAAAAATTTGTGGTATTTTGTTACAGCAGGAATAGGAAACTAATACACTCCCACCCTCACCCTGTAATCCAACATTTGAATATTTCTGGGGTGAATGTAAACACCAAGAAGGACTCATGAATCGCACACGGGCATTTTGTCCCTGTTTGGAGCCCTCTGGGTGGGGGTGGTACGCCTGGCATGGCAGGCACCTGGGTCCTCAGCGACCCCGTGAAGGCAGTTCTGTTCAGACCCCCCCCCCCCCCACGTCCAGCTGGGGAAGCTGAGGCCCAGAGAGGTTAAGCGACTCGCCGCAGCCACACAGCCAGGCCACGGCCTCGTGGGGCTGGGGAGCACGGAGCCCCGCACCTTTGCGGAGGAAGGCGCCGTGGCGCTGGTCCAGCACGGTGGGCGGCAGCAGCGTGTAGTTGGACATGATGTTGGCCTTCATGGCGCCGAAGGTCGAGTGCGCCACGACGGAGGCCAGCTCCTCCTCGCCCAGCGGCCGGCCCAGGAACTGGCAGATGCGCTCCACGGAGCCGCGGAGGTCCTGGGGGCAGGGGAGACGGGTCAGGGGGGGCCAGGCGGGCGGAGGGGACCCTGGGCGAGGAAGGAACCCCAGACCCAGAGCCTGGATATTTGGGTCCCCGCCTGGACCCGTCTGGGCGCCTCTTTGCCTCAGTTTCCCCACCTCCAAGCTGAGGGCTTGGGCTGTGGCCTCTTGAGGGGTTTTGGAGAATTCTGTGGGTGGGAGGGAAGGGCCGGGGTGGGGTCAGAGGTCACAGCAGGGGGCAGAGGGCAGGCCAGCACTTAGGCAGAATCGCCCTCTCGCAGGTTAGAAACAGGCGTCAGGTCCCCATCCCAGGACCGGCCGTCGTCCGCCCAGTCACAGGGCCCGCCCCCAGCCCCGCCTCCAGCCCCGCCCCCAGCCCCGCCTCACCCTCCTTCTCCCCGCCCCTCCGCCTGTCAGTCATCAGCCGTCAGTCCCTCCAGCCCTCACTCTCTCCGCCACGGCCCCTCCTCCCTGTCCCCATCGCCCTAGCACAGGTCAGGCCTCATGCCCTCCCTATGGACCCTTGCCCCGGCCTCCTCCTGGGCCTCCTCCCCGGCCTCCCTGCCTCCAGTCCCCCACGCCCAGAGCGGACGCTGCGCCCAGGCCTCCTGTGGCTCCCCGGTGCCCTGGGGCAACAGCCCCAAGCCCTGGGCCTGGCTCTCAAGGACAAGTGTGTCTGGTGTTACTTCTCCTGCTGCCTCCCCATCCTCTCACTGCTCCCCGCACCGTCCTCCCTGCAGGCCTTGCCCTGGGCAAACCTCCCCATCCAGGGGCAGCTCCAGTGTCACCTCCCTCAAGACAATGATGGTTCAAGTCACTGTGGATTGAGCACCTACTGTGTGCCAAGCTCCCATCCAAGCCCCTCAGGTATATTTGTGCCCATCCTCCCAATAGCCTTGCAGAGAGGCGTCCTCACCCGAATTGGGAAACGGAGGCCCAGAGAGGGGTAGACACTTGTCCAGGGTCACACAGCCAGGGAGGAGCTCAGATTTGGGTCCCCAAAGCCCACAGTCCTCCCCTCTCTCTCGCAGCCTTCCCTGCACAGTCAGCCTTCTAGTCAGCTCCACCAACGCCACGGCGCCACTTTTCCAGGTCATTCCTGGTTTCGTAACCTTCCATCCCTTTATCCGCTTGAACCACAGACGTGTCCCAGAAATTCTAACATGTTGGCAGTTCCTCAGACCCAGGGGCAGCCCAGAACCTCTGTCAGGCTGCGCGGCCCAGTTTTTGGTTTGAAGAACAAAGCTCCACGGAAAAGACGGGGGAGGGGGAGATGCCGAAATCTTTACTGGATCTTTCCAGCAGAAGAGATTTCCTAGGGTGGACAAAGAGCCCACCGGGTCGGGAGAGGTATCACCTCTCTCTGGGTTACCCACTCCCAGGTGCCTCCTCTGTGAAATGGGGTCATAACGATATTGGGGGGAACTTTAGCAAATCACCATTTTTCTGCAGATCGAAACTAGTCGAATGTTGGCGATTTCCTGGGGTTGCGTGTACCTCGCCTGTCTGTGCTTCATGAGGATTAAAGGAGACCATCTGGGGGCAGCACTGGGTGCATGGCATCGGTCAGCCCTCAGGAGACATTCACTATTATTATTATTATTAATCACTTGAGCCCTCACTCAGAGCCTAATCATTCCTACCGTACACACTATAGTAATGCGCTGTCAGATGGTTAGGATATGCCAGGGCTGGGAACTGTGGTCCTCACGACGACCCCATGAGCTGGCATTTTCCACCCATTTTAAGAATGAGACCTCTGAGGCTCTGAGTTTTTTTTTTTTTTTTTTTTTTTTGCTGAAGAAGACTGGCCCTGAGTGAACATCTATGCCAATCTGCCTCTATTTTGTATGTGGGACGCCGCCACAGCATAGCTTGACGAGCAGTGTGTAGGTCCACGCCCGAGATCCGAACCTATGAACCCCAGGCCGCCGAAGTGGAGCGTGTGAACTTAACCACTACGCCACCAGGCCAGTCCCCCTGGAAGAGATTTTATGATGACTTTAACTGCTTTGTGGACACAAAAATCCAGGCCCTTTCCACTGCAAAAAGTACTGACAGAAAGGAGACAAAAGAGAAACGAAATGTCCCCACAGGAAGGGAACGTGTCAGAGCCGTTGGTGAAGAGGCACATTTTGGGGACAGATCGGAACGGATCTTTGTGAAGAATCTAGAGTGGCTGGGTACGTTCGCTGTGGATGGTTCCTTCTAGAAGCCCAGCATCCTCCTTGCAGCCAGGCAAAGCTGTAGTCATTCTGCATGGCCCCTTCTTCCAGGGAGCCCTCCCTGATTGCCCCAGCCAGAAGACACCTCTCTCCCAGGTGCCTGCCCCAGGGACATTTGATGGGGTCCAGCCAGGATCCCGGTCCCACCCCAAAGGCTGTCTCCTTCCACCGCTCCACTCTGCCTTTCAGGTCACAACCATCATCGAAGCTCACTTCCCACATGCCTCCGTTGCCCGTGATTAAATTTATCCTATCGCCTCCCCTACCCAGAGCCCACCCGTGGCCCCCACCTCCTCAGAGAAAAGCCAGAGCCCTCACCGTGGTCCCCATCCCCTCTCTGCCCTCATTTCCTCCCTCATTCCCACTCACTCGGCCTCTTTGCTCTCCTTGGAACACGTCAATCACACTCTCACCTCAGGGCCTTTGCACAGGCCCTTCCCGCTGCCTGGGACACTTTTCCCCTAGATATCTCCAAGGCTCCCTCTCCTTCTTTGCTTCTGTGTTTCCTTCTCTTGGAGGCCTCCCCTGACCATCCTCCTTAAAATTCCTGAGCCTCCTCTCCTGCTT